CTCGGACTCGGGATTGTTCGTAATGGCACGAACGGTTTATAATTCCTCGGTCGGGCCTATGTGCATATTTGATTGAAGCAGATGTCATGATACCACAGGTACAGTATCTTTCGTATTAAGCTTGAGCCTTATTTAAGAATATAGGAAATACTGGGGGGAAAAGGTAAAGCTATCCCTGTAACAAGCCGTGGAGGCCCATAGGGTTGTCAGAGGTTGAGGCTCCATATTTTCTAGACAATCGGCTCACAGATGGCGGTGAGGTTGTCAGCCTTATGTGCCAAGCTATCCCTGNCTTTGCTTCCAGGAAGATTCCTGGTACTCATCTCTGTTAGAGGCTGAGTCGACCCCAGGGCCATAGTGCGGTTGGAAGAATTAGGTCAATTTAAAAATCAAATAACCTCATCAGGAATCGAACCCGCTACCTGCCGGCTTGTAGTATAGTGCCTCAACTAACTACGCTACCCCGTGCCTCCATTGCAAAGATTATCAGACCGCGTAATTGCTTTATAAGGGAAACCGACGTATGACGTCGTCGTATTTATTTTTTGTCAGTAATGACTTTTAGATTAATACGTCTCAGATTTTAACGGAACCAGCCATTTTCATAACTTTCATTTCTTAGCAATAAACATATTAACACTGTGGTCGCGCAAACTTCTGAAGTGGGGGTATCTCTACATCCATTCGAGTTATACGGTCCAGAAATTGTATGTGCATGTATAATCAACCGCAAAACACGAAGACAAAAGTAAAAAGTAAAGCTATCCCTGTACCAGGCCGTGGAGGCCCATAGGGTTGTGAGATGTTGAGGCTCCAACATTTTCTAGACAATCGGCTCACAGATGGCTGTGAGGTTGTCAGCCTTACACGCCGGCTTCCCTTTACCCTCAGGAATATTCCTGGTACTCATTTTTGTTAGAGCCTGGGTGGACCCCAGGTCCATAATGCGGCTGGAAGGATTAGGTAGATTGGAAAAATCCACCTCATCGGGATTCGATCCCGCGACCTTCCGGATTTTAGCATAGTGCCTCAACCAACTACGCCACCGCGTGCCCCAAAACACGAAGCTGCTACCACGAAAATAAATTTAGCAGTGTGAAGCCTGGCGTTCATCTAAATATTATTTAACACCCCATTTCCCACATTACAAAAACACGGCCTATCCATTACAGAGACCAAACGGTTACTTCCGTTTAAGAAAATAATCGCTGATTATCCTGAGAATCATACGAAGCATGCAGATACACTATGTGGACAAATGTTAAGTTTCTGACTACTATGTGTGCATATAGTTACCATTTTACTTTAAGGGTTATATAACCGAATCTGTTGTACTTAATATAGTGTTTAATTCTCAAAAGCCACTTTAATGTATTTACTCACTGAATTACTTACTTACTTACTCATGGAGCTGAGCTCTTCTGGAGGAGCCGCAAATTCTGTAGCTACTCAAGAATTTCCCAGCATTTTATGGAACCCGAAGGTTCATGACCGTGTTCACAAGAGCTCTACACTGATCCCTATCCTGAGCCAGATCTATCCAATCTATACCATCCCATCCTATCTCTCTAAGATCCATTCTAATATTGTCCACCCATCTACGCCTTGGTCTTCCGTGTGGTCTCTTTCCTTCTGGCTTTCCCACCAATATCCTATACGCATTCCTCGTCTCCCCCATTCGTGCTACATGACCTGCCCACCTCATCCTCCTTGACTTGATCATTCTAATTATACTTGGAGAAGAGTACAAGTTATGAAGCTCCTTATTATGCAGTTTTCTCCAAGCTCCTGTCACTTCATATGTCTTCGGTCCAAATACTCTCCTCAACGACCAAGNTTAACTCACTGAATAATTTAGTTAATTTAAATATTTTTAAGTTGAAATTAACCACACATTATTATCAAGCTGTTGCCATTCTATGGCATCTGAAACAAGTTCACAGTTTCTCATGGTAATTCTCAAAGATCAGTATGTATAGTGTCATTCAGGCGTGCCGGGTTCTGAGCGTTTCTTTATGTAAGGTTTGTCAGTGACATTTTGTATGTGTTCGCCGTTTTCTTACTGCGCGATGCGTGTTCCGCCCATTGCACGTGGCAAAGGCTTCGGACCTGACGTATTCTTTGGCAACACTCAAATCAGGAGCATAAAATATTCGACAGCAGATAGAGCTCTTAGGTCATTCGCAGCTCTAGTTTCGCAAAGAACGCCCTGGATATGATTATTTGTACCACTGTTTGCAGAGAACTGGTCACGGGATGCGTGGCGCGAACTGGAGAAAGATTGCTGCAGATTGAAATAAGATGTAAATTACAATCTAAGTATGAAAATAAAAGTGAACCCTATCAAAATAAACTCTAGTGTTGTGATGAGTAGGCCTGTAATTCCTGGAAGACGGCCACCTGGAAGACAGAGACTGCGATGGAACAGTAATATCAAGGGGAAGTTGCCACATCTTCGCCGTATTAGTTTTATCAAATTTAGATGCATTTTTAAGCAACAGTAAGCTATACATGTAGTTGAGAGTTTTCTGCATGTGCTGACTTTTATTATATGAGTAATTTGAAACACAGTTTTTATATCTTCTCTAGCACAGTTCCAAATGATCGTTTAGAAGAAGACGTTAAAATATATTTAAAAATAACTAATTGTGAAAGGAAGTCGAGAAATATAGAGAGTCCCAATGTAAGTGTGATAAATTCAGCTATACGGCTTATGACTGCTTAAAAATGCATTTAAATTTCATAAAATTTACATTGCGAAGACAGGGCTTAGACCCCCCACTTAGAGCGCATATTACGGGGCCGGACTGTGAGGATATACTGAGTTAAGCTCGCTTAGAATCCTGTCCAATCAGATAGATTCGTAAAATTCTTGTTACGCCATCGCGCTCCTGTACTAGAAGTTACGGCAGTAAGTTAATTAGGCAGATATTTTTGTTTTAATTCGCTTAGTGGGGATGGAGTTCAACTGGGACAATTCGACACGGCGGCCACTGATAGGTAGATATTTACTTGGAGTTTGAAATAAAAATGTCAGATACTTTTCCGCTGCTCCTCTACTCTAAGTGGTATTAATTTAGAAAGAAGAGGCTAGAATTTTAGGACGCAAAACTTTAAAATCAATAAATATATTATGCTTCTGAGTCGAAGGTGCCACCGCCGAATTCTGCTGACTTTAAAATGAATAGAGCCAATTGGAAACATCTTAGTTCCTCAAATAGACCTAATTGAACAATTCTGGGATTTACTTTTCTTCTGAGATAATGTGTTGATGCAAATACAGTTTGTCGAATCTTGAACTCTATGTCAGAAACGTTAAAAAGTAGCAATATTTTTGAGTAGTGAGTGTCTTCTGTAGGTACAACTGCACCAAGAAGTTGGTAATGACAAGTTGGAACTCGAGATCTGTGTCGTGTGGACAGGAACACCTGGTGGAAAAGGGCTTTGGCGATAGGTCATCAAGACGGGTCATGTGACCTGCTTGACATTGGTGCACGTAGCCACCTACACCCTCTGCCCCGAATTACAAGTTATAGAGTAATGCAATGAAGAGCAAAAGCTGCTGACATGTAGCCTCAACCGTCGTGTCTTCTGAGTGTCTTTTGTTTGGTTTTAATTAAAAAATTAATCACCATCTGTTATATTTACGTTTCTTTCTATATTTTGAAGCTGTGTGAAGTGAGGTACCCAATTATAAAAAGGTTAGTGCAGATATTAAGAGAAATGGTGTCTTGTGAAATACTGACAGTGATATTTCATTATATAACAGTGCTGAAGCAAAAAGAGTCGAAATTTTGTCGTCAGCGGTAAGATTGAAAGGATGAGATCTTCTGGTGTCTTTACCCTGAAAAAGGAAGTTAATTATTCTTTCTATTAATTATCGTCTCAGATGTGTTTTTATGAAGTATTTGTGCATAACCGATATCACAATAACCATTTTGCAAATAATTCTGAAACAAAATTGCACGAGAATGAAATATCAGTATCATTGCTAACCTTATAAACTCATGAAACCCTGCTAAGTCCCTTTACAAAAACTCATACTGATTTTTATGCCGAATAAATCGCAAATTTGACAAGAAATTAATGGACATTCCGATATACCTACCATATATGGATATAGGCAGCCTCTGAACGCGCAAATGCTTTAGGTTATTTATGTTACACGATTCTTATAAATTCAAAATTTATCTAACACGTTTGATCTTACAGAAATGACGGGAAGTACTTCGGTTCATCAAGATGAATAGTTTGTATAGTTTCCTGTCTTCACATTTCAAAAAAGTCACCGAATATAGCGATATTTAAAAATATTTTTATGGCCCAATGCTCATTTCAGTAGCAAACAGCTAACATAAAAAATAAAATTTTCTCAAACAGAGGAAATGAAACGCAAATAAAATGAAATGTAATTTTGATGAACGCATATTTTCCCGAGAGTTGTTATTTCGAAACCGCACAAAAGGCGTGGACAGACACTAAAAATTTTAATAATTATTAATATGAAGTTTTATAATATTTCTTATATCATGTTGCACACTTGTAATGGCGCATACCATGAAGATCAGGGGCCGAATGTAAATGTAGCATTTGTGACATGGCTATGGCTACACTGACATATTGATAATTCGTTATAATCTGCTAACATTCGCAATATATTGGCAGTAGAGTACGTATGACAAGTTTGTATGTAAATATATTATAGAAAGTTAGATATACACATATTTGCGATGTAATATAACGTTACACTAAGTCGTAACCGATGTTAACATTTCGAATAGTAACTTCATACTACCGAAATCTGGCAAGAAAGTTACTTTAAACATAATATTAGTTATTACTTAATAAATATGAATAGTATCGATGTAACAAAAAACCCCTTGGCATTTTGTCTGCAAGCGAACTATACTGACCGAGCGACCACCGCTTGTCGTTGAAGTTACTGCCAACTTTTGCGGATAGAGGGTGTCGCGTGGTCAGCGCAAAGGATCCCAACGGCAGTTAATCTCGGTTTTCTAGACCGGAGCCGCTATTTCCTTGAAATAGCTCCTCAGTTATCCTCACGATGTTGAGTGAACCCCGTTCCAGACCCACTACTTCTCAGATAATCTGGTATCCCTGGGAATCGAACCCGGAACTCCTGGATCTGTAGCCAGGAACTCTGACCACTAGACCACGGAGACACCACCATTGTTAAAACCCGTTACCAAAAAACTATAGAAGTCATAAATAATTTGCTGTAAGAAAAATATTGTATTCATTTCTTGGGTGTAGACTTATTACACATTATGGACACGGGATACACTGGGTACATCTGAGGCATCGGGGCTGGACAAATTAAACGAGCCATGTAACTGTTTCCGTGGGTTTGCTCCTAACTTTAAATGAACGGTGCCGACGGGCAAAACGCACGTCTATTTTCCAAACGTAGGAATGGCCGTACATAATTGACTGAAACCGACTTAAAGAAAAAATAATTTGCAATTCAAGAGTGCAATGAAATTAATTTCAGATTATTTACGGTTTATTCTGGCATAATTTTACTTGCGTATGGTTAGGTAAGAGCTTATTTCTCGGGACATAGAGGCCTACACGGAGAAAGCCGAGAGGACTAGACTAGGGAGTTAAGAAAGTGAACAATGTGAGGCGCTCATACGGAAGGATGTTTAAGCATTTGTGAAAATGTAAATTCTCACTCGGAATTACTTGATTTTTGGTCTCTTTGTACAAGAATCTACCTGTAATTCCCAATTCAGTGTTCCATAAAGTAATCAATCACGACAGTGTTTTCAAGATCATGGCACCATAAAAATCATTGTTTAGTGATGAATTCATTAAACATCGAATCTGATACTGTGATGTTTTCAATTCGATAAAGATACGTCCTTTGCTTGACATTTTCAGGAGGCATAGAAGTTTTTGGTTCGCTACAGCGAAGTAGAGTCAATGCACGATTGTGTGCTAATTCCTTATATTATTATTATTTACTATAGTGTTCCACTGAAATCTTTTTCTTGCACCATCACTACAGCACCATTCTGGTTTAACACTTCATTCTCCGATATTAGTGTGTTGGACGTATAACATTCTCCAGACATTATTACAAGCTGGCGACTTACGACAATTTTAGATGGGCAAGGAAACAACGCCTGTCGCGGTAGCCGAGCGGTCTAAGGCATTTACTGTCGTCGCTCGCTCGGAAACCGGGATCGTGGGTTCGAATCCCACACAAAGCGTGGATGTTTGATATGTATATGTGTTTGTGGTTTCCTATGTTTAGGTAGAGGCCTTGCGACGAGCTGATCACTCGTCCAAGGAGTCCTACCGTTTGTAAAATGATTACGAAACTGAAAATCAGAGGTCAGAGCCAAAGGAGGCTCTAGAGCCAGTGGAAAAAAGACAATTAACATAACATTTCAGAAGAGTTGCAAGGTTGTTTTGTAAAGAAGGAACCTCTCTGCGATTTCAGATGTACAAGTTCAGGCTACACGGTCTGGTCGCGGACCTATGGCCGCTGATCAGAATCATGCAAATGATCGGCTTCTTCTTGCTGGACTACCATGAAGACATGAGCTTCGGCTGGACGTCCATCAGAGCGGGATATGCTGGGTCCATATCTGGCCTCATGGTTATACAATTCGCCCTGATCGCCATCAACCTCATGAAGCAAGCAGACGATGTCAATGACCTGACAGCCAACACGATCACCGTGCTCTTCTTCGTCCACTCCCTGACAAAGTACTTCTACTTCGCGTTGCGTCGCGGCAAGTTCTACCGGACTCTGGCAACTTGGAATAACGCTAACAGCCACCCGCTCTTTTCGGAAAACCACTCTCGCCACCACGCGACAGCTGTCGCCAGCATGAGGCGCCTGGTGATATATGTGACCAGTGCAACCGTAATCAGCGGGTTTGCCTGGACCATCATCACCTTCATCGGGGACAGCGTGCACGAAACAGCAGACCCAGAGAACGCGAATGAGACCATTCTGGAGGAGGTGCCACGTCTCATGCTGCGATCCTGGTACCCCTGGAATGCTTTGTCAGGCGGAGGCTATATCGTGTCCTTTATCATTCAGGTGAGAATAAAGCGGCAACTTGCCCAAGTTGGAAGTTACTTTATAGTTTGCACCAGAAAACATCCCTGCTATTGTGCTCCCTAACAGCTTAACTGTACCTGTCTTTCGTGCCATAAGACCTACAGTTTTATCAGAACTACGTGTATGTTTTATCTTATCAACCCTACAGGTGCCAAGTGCTGGAAATTTCGATCTTTAATGAAACTGTTATACATGAGTGCATGACATCTGTTCACATTTTACTTTAAGTATACAGCGAAGGAAGATTTTGAGGAAATTCATACTACATTTGAATTTCTTCTGTGTTGTTAAGGTCGCGGGTTCGATTACCTATGAGGTCATTGGATTTTTTCAAGTGACCTAATCTTTCCAGCCATACTATGGTCCTGGAGTCGACACAGCCTTTAACAGAAATAAGCATCAGGAATTTTCCTGGGGGGTAAAGGGCGGCCAGAGCGCAGGGCTGGTAACTTCACCACCATCTGTCAGTCGATTGTCTAGAAAATATGGGAGCCTCGACGTCTCACAACCCTATAGGCCTCCACGGTTTTTATAAGCATAGCTATGACACTTTTTGTTATTAACTCAAGACAAAGGAACAGCTGTCACAACAGAATGACTAATTGACAATATAGGAATTAAATCTAGTTCTTTCAGGGTTAAAGTGTCTGTAGGACAACTGTTTGTTAAATGTAACCATGAATCCCAACGTGTAAATACAGCTGTCTTTAGTATATGACTAAAATCGTATCACTACTCTTGTTTCTGAGTCGGCTGTCTCCATAAACACAACGACACTGATATTTTGTGTTACTGTCTTGGCATTTCTGACAAAGTTTTGAAGTTTCTCAATGTAGTCAATACAAGAGGCAGATCAATATTTCTGACTGCATGCAGAATTTTAAACAGTTTATTACATTTATGTAATAATTGTCATGTTTCTTTGGATGTCAGTCATTGTCAGCATAGTACGTATAAGAAGTTCTGTATGTTAGTAGGTTACTGCAAATTATTTCATAATAGTATACGATAAATGATACAACTCAGTAGTCTAATTATGATTACACCCCAAGATAAATGTTTCTGTGGTATACACGTGATACAAGGAGTTCCTTTGACAGCACCCGAAGGTATTATGTATGGATGTGATACAAGCAGGATTAAACTTTCGCATGGTCCAAGTCATATTATTGTAATTTCATGTTAATCTGGATATTTTCATTGTGACCTGACGTGTTAAATTGGGCTAAACTTCTTTTTTTACATATTTCTGGTGTAATTATCCGATTTGGGCTTCCAAGATTTGTGTGGACAAAGTACATGTGCGAAATAAGCGCTGACTGCAGAATATATGATTCTCGTGGCTCTGGCTCAAGTTTTATGCGTCAATATATTTAACGTATGCAGCTCATCTGGTTGTTCCTTGTCCTAACTGAAGTTTACTTTGTACGCTACATTTCATGTCCTTATTGCAGCTCATCTGGTTGTTCCTTGTGCTAACTGAAGTTTGCTTGGTATGCTACATTTCATGTCCTTATTGCAGCTCATCTGGTTGTTCCTTGTCCTAACTGAAGTTTGCTTGGTATGCTACATTTCATGTCCTTATTTCAGCTCATCTGGTTGTTCCTTGTCCTAACTTAGGTTTACGGGGTATGCTGCAATTAATGTCTTTATTACAGCTCATCTGTCTGCTCCTTGCCCTAACCTTTATCTTTATTGTAGCTGGACGTGTTGTAACCATTTATCTGGACACGCTGCACACGACAGATCATTTGATCGCAGAAATTTGTTGCTGTTCCTGATTGTAGCAGAATTTCGTGGAATTGTAAAACGTAATATTTTCTTTAATTGCAGATCATTTGGTTGTTTCTGGCCCTGTTACATGCCATGATGATGGACACGATGTTCTGCTGTTGGCTCATCTACACATGTGAGCAGCTCATTCACCTGAAAGAAATTATGAAACCACTCATGGAGCTCAGTGCATCGCTGGATACCCTCGTGCCTCACTCTGCAGAGCTGTTCCGTGCAGTCAGTGCCACGGCCAACAATCCTATACCTTCAGGTGATTAGAGTGCCTGTAGTTATTTTTCAGTTGTTCTCAAAACGGGTTTCACGAAGACAGATTATCTTGAAAGTCTTTTTAAAAAAATGCAAACTCATGAACAAATATGCCATTTTTGTCTGTTTTTAGTGCATCATTGGAAATAACTCCTCAATATATTTTTCATCCGATACACATGTCTTTACGGAATAGTTTCAGTCATTAATTTAAGATCGTCATCTATGAGTCGATTGTCTAGAAAAAGTGAGAGCCTCGATATTTCACAATCCTATGGGCCTCCACGGCTTGTTACAGGGATACCTTTAACTTTTACTTAGCATGACAAGTTAATAAACCTTTTTTAAATTCTAGTGTGAAAGAAATTAACACACCCAAGGTGTAACAATGTTAACCTTATTAATAATATTGTCACGAGATGGGGTGACTATAGAGGGGGTTAGAATTGGTAAGCGGATTTGCTGAACATTTAAACACACAACTCGTGTGTCCTGTCCTCCTGTCCTGAGCTACACCCCAAGAGCTGAACTAACTGGCTTCAAACTGCCGAACTGAGTCACAGAGTCACAGTTTTTTTAATTCTCTAGTGGGGGGTGGAGTCCTGCTGAGTCCATTCGGCACGGCGGCCACTGATTGGCCTATTGTACCTGTCCCGGGTGATTATGATGATGGAGAATTTGGTGGAATGAAGATCGGCAGGGGAAACCGAAGTACTCAGAGAAAACCCGCCCCAGCGCCACTTTGCCCACCACAAATCCCACATGACCAGACCCCGGGATGGAATCCGGGCCGCCGCGGTGGGAAACCAGCGATTAACCGCTTGAGCTATGGCGCGGCCCTCAGAGTCACAGTTACTTTACAACTGGCGATTTACCGTCAAACACTTCGTCTTGGCGCCAAGCCTCTTGAGGCTCACGGCCAGAAATTATTTCAGCTGAATCTTTGCCGTCATAATCCTTATGCTACAGCCTCTCTGACGAGAGGATGGGTTTGTCTCTTATGAATATGCTTGGCCGCGTGTCCATATCGCACATATTACATGTTATTGAAAATTCTTTCTTTTGTACTATATACAAGTCCTCTAAAAGTCAGTCACATTGCGACTGATGGTCAGTCAGTCAGTAAGTCTTGGTGTCGAGCCCCATCTGGAGTTAATTAACAGATATTTGTTACTGTTTGACAGTTATGGTCTTGTTTTCTTTGTGGGGCGTCCTCTCTGACGAGAGGACGGGTCTGTCTTTTGTATATGCTGCTGGTTCTTGCCAGCGCAGTCTTTCTCGGGTCCGAGTCCCTTGAGACTCGCGACCATATTTTACTGTCTCAGATTTGAGACTTTCATTTTCGTCGCCTCCTACGACTCGCAGGGTCACGGTGGAGGTATTCGACCCCGCCTCCACACGGGTGTGATTGCTTAGGCAACAAGTCCTCTACGCACAATGGACCCCTTATGCAGTATCGACACGGACCTCATGGAAAACATCTCTCCTAAAGGTTCTTATAATTTTCATCAAGTAGCTATCGGCACGGACCGCATAGACGTTCCCGGTTACTCCATGGCTGCATGTTACGAAGCTGTTGCCTAACAATGGGCGTGTTTGCAGAGTCGTTCCCCAGCAACGGTTCCCTGCTAGTTTCACAATTCTGCCTTTCAGTATACACACCACAATACATAACTCATTACTTAAATGGCTGAAACTTGTATTTGCATTTACTATTAACCAGTGTTCTGGCAGGAAAGTTTGTGTATTTGAATATTATTTCCTCGCCTATGTCTCGGTTTCCAAGCGATCTCTTCTCTCTTTGAACTTAAACCTAAATTCTTTATGAATTTATTCTTTCTCCCTTGCATACACCAGTCCCATCGCGCATGCCATCTATCTTGAGTAAATCATATTAACAATATTTAAGGGTACAAAATATACTTGTCGCCTAAGCTACGTCATGACTCCAATCAGAGGGGCGAGGAAGTAAAGCTCCACGCATTCATAACTTGGGCACTAGTTGGAGGTGGATGATCAGTTCATTCTCGGTTTTGAATGGATGTCAGGCTAAGTGGGCACCAGAGCCGACCTGATTATGAGGACGAATAGAAAAACTGACCTTGCTGGGAATCGAAATTTGTGTATGCAGTACATAGCTAGTTTGGGCCATTTACAAATTTCAGACATCACCATGACGATTCCTGAGTTGTGTGACGTAACATAAGTAACTTTATGGAGGATTATTTACAGAGAAGCTAATAGTCGCTAAGTTAGTAAAGAACTAGCGCGCCACCTGGCGCAACATCTTATTCCAATTGGTTTTCAGGCGACAGTGAGGGAATTCGCGCCATATACAGCAATCAGCACGACTTCTCCAACTTCCGACTGAATACAGGCACACTGGCCAATGTCAACAGCGGCTCTGTGGGTCCAAACGGACTGACGAAGAAGCAGGAAATATTAGTGCGGTCCGCCATCAAGTACTGGGTGGAGCGTCACAAGCACGTGGTCAGGTGAGTCATGATCGTTTTATTCAGTGATGCAATAATAATAACAGAATATGCAGAAAATATATTTATTATTGTGATTTTGACGAACGGTAGGAAATGTGGGAAAGATTCTGGTTACAGCCCGCAAAGAAGACAGTACACAGACGGCAACTGGCTATGTGACGGGCGAGAGAAGAGCCTAAGAAACAAATGCACAACTCCTAGTGTTTTCTCTCTAAGGAGCTTTTATTGTAGGGGAAAGTTAATTTCTCATACCGGGAAAGGGCTATTCATTTCTCACACGCATTAATGAAAAAAATCGTTAATTTATCACCTATATAACTAAAAGTGAATGCGTACTATATGAACAGAAACAATAGTTTATTGGAACACAAGACATCTTCGGTTATCCATACTTTATAAATCACAATACAACAAAATATAAAAGAAACATGCTATTTTAGATAATGTGACACGCTTATATCTGAGTTCCCTGCCATTATTCCACTGCGTATGCTTATCCATCAAGAAATATTTCAAATTTGAAGCCAATCTACTGGAGTACTGATCCAACAAGACACATAAGATTATAAATTAAAAAAGTAATTATCATCATTATGAGAGCAGTGTTTAGTGAAAAACACGTCTACTTTGCTTGTTCCTTGGTTTTCCTTGTGGATAACGACAGTGGTTAAATAGTGTCAAATTGTGGGGTAATTATGACTAATGAATTTGAAAGTGTAAGAGAGGAAGCCTATGTAATAAGCACAGGTTGATACAGAAAACTGGGATATCCACGAAGTACTTCAATTATAACACTGCTTTCCGGGTTGGGAACCTAACCAGAGACCTCTTGAATGCGAAGTAGAAGTGCTGACCGCTCAAACTGACGTTTGCTATTTGTGACAATCATAGTTTCCGCCGAGGGTGTGGAGCTACTGAGATCGGATTGCAAATCTAAATTTAAATCAAACAGAAATCCAAAGCAAGCAAGCGGTTAATTTTGTCCAGAAAATCTGCAAATTTAAAGCCGTAAATAATAGGAAAAAAAAATATATATATACAACTCTAAATTAATGTTAGAAAACCTGAAACACTGAAAGTTTTTCCTGATTTCTGAGAAGTCTGAATAATGAAGGACGGCCGGGATGGCTGAAATTTGAGCTGGACAAATGTTTGAATTAAAGGGAAGAAATTGGGAAAAAGGTAAAAAGAAGAATAAAGCGAGGTAGGGATAAGAACCACACACACTTAACTTACAAAATGTCTAAAGCCAGTAGCTTTGTACGAAATTTCGGGAATTATTTATGACGATAACTTTCCTTTAAAACCTTGTCTTTGTGTAGAGAAGACAGGACAAAAAGAGAGATAATATAAATTATATATTGCATGGATTACTTTTTTCTTATTTTATGGGGTGGGGTAGTCTTAGTTATATGTTTGGTTGTGACTATCTTTCTTATGGGCTGATTCTGTTAAGATTTTTGGTTTGTGTTTTGATGATTATGGCCAGAGAGCCTATTTTGCGTTCTTTTTATTATCCGGGTTTGTTTTAATTTTTTGTTGTTTTGTTGGTTATTTTTGTTGTTGTTGTTTTGTACTTTTGGAAGAGTGGGCCTGTTTCACAGTATCTGAGAGCTATTGAACATGATCTAAAATATTCCTGACACTACTATACCGGTAATTCTCATCATATACAAAAATAATTGGCACATAATTATAATGTTTATAACTTGCAACCTTAGTAAATTTCACGAACCTTGACTATAGTCACAAGTGCCACGGTCCTACTTTCTTATTAGAATGAGCAAAGAAGGGGAAACACATCGTATTAGAAGATGGATACATTCTGGGGATAATCAATATTTATTTTGTTTAAAAACTGTTCTCATCTCGTCTACTTCTTCCCTTCGAGGGAAAGTTAAAATTAATGTTGCCCCTCTGGTTAAGCATCGTTGTGGAATAATGATGGTAAAGCTCCACATATTCTTAAAGTTGGTAACTGATGGACGTATCAGATTCACGCTCCGGCGACTTTACCCCCCGGGAAAGGGCCTTCGATACTCACTGGACAGGAAGATGGATGGGTCCCACGGCAGGTCTCGACACCGAGTCGACAAGAAAATTCGATGTCCTTGCCTGGAAGCGAACCCCAGTTGTCCAGCCCGCAACCAGTTGCTTTAGTGACTGAGCTGTCCTGGACTATGTTACAATTAACTGACTCCAAGGGCCGCGCCACAGCTCAAGCTGTTAGTCGCTAGCTTCCCACCGCGGAGGCCCGGGTTCGATCCCGAGTCTGGTCAAGTGGGATTTATGGTGGACAAAGTGGCGCTGGGGCAGGTTTTCTCCGAGTACTTCGGTTTCCTCTGCCAATCTTCAGTCAACCAATTGCTCCACAATCACCCTCACCTATCATCTGGGGCGGGTACAATAGGCCAGAAGTGGCCGCAGTACAAGGGACTTAGTCCCACTCCACTAGCAATAAAAAACTGACTCCATGAAGCTGAGTCCATGAGAAACCGCCAGTCTCTCAGATACTCAAAAAATCTGCCAACATTTTATGAAACCCGAATGTTCATTACCGTGTTCCCAAGAGCCCTCCACTGGTCACTATCCAGATCCACATCAATCCATCCCATCCTATCCCTCTAAGATTCATTTCAATATTATCCTTTTATCTTCGTCTACCTCTTCGTAATGGTCTCTTTCCTTCTGGCTTTCCCCATATTTCTCTTCTCCCCATGTGTGATACATTTCCTACCCATCCAATTCTTCTTAATAATTACACTCGCTGAAGATTACAGGTTATGAAGCTCCTCATTATGTAGTTTTCTCCAACCTCCCATCACTTCGTCCCTCTTCGGTCCAAATATTCCCCTCAACACCCTGTTCTCACACACCCTCAGTCTACGTATGTTCGTCGGATTACGTTACGACAGACATAAATTGCCTAAATTTGAAAGCAAGTTCAGTATTTAGGGAGGCTGAATAAGCCTGTGGGAGCAATTTAGGATCTTACACAAAGAGAAAACCTGTGATTTATACTAGACATCTAGCATAGACAAATAAATAAATAAATAAATAAATCTAAGAAATACGCATGACTGTGAATGCGCAGTGGAATGTGGTGGGCAAAATGAAAAAGCCACTTCGAAGAAGAAGAGGATGAAAGAATAACATTAAGACCGGTATTGGGAGAAACAGTTTGTGAAAACGGAGTTGGCTCAGGATCATGTCTGGGTACTCTTATTTTCTCTTTCTTAGGTACAAAGCTTCTCACACAAAAAAAAACTCTTTTTTTTAACAACGTATCCTTTAGAGCGAGAAAGAAAATTTCACATTCACATACTGTAGAGTTACAACCATACTATATTAGACCCTTTAGAGACTTAATTTATATGTTTTCTGAATGTTATTAATGATGGGAAAGTATGATACTGTCGCGTGTTAGTGACTAGACATGGGGTTTGGATTTGTAATTGAATTTACTGAAAACTTATAAATTGTAACTACAAGTAATTATAACACTATTGCCAATCTACACGCCGAGTCTCAGTATATTATAGGCTTTATTGGTCGTTACCTAGTAACGGATCCCAATAGTGACAACTTCAGCTCATGTCATTGCCGACCTACGACCATCTCACAACTAAATCATGACGGCGACTAATCCTCAACTCAAAACCCACTTTGGTTCTTCTTATATGGTCTTGAAACGGACCGCATAAAAAACAACACTCCAACATTTCTCTATTTTGACTTCACATGTTCTCTGCCGCGGAAACGCGTTTAGTTTGCTGCTGCCTAGCAGCGGATGTTTTCTCTCGTCAAGTTATACTGTCATCATGTCACAACATTTCAAGCGAATGTTAAAATGTCCAAACCGAGTTTTTCTCTTAATGTCACCACGAATTATTTTTATTTGTTAATTTCATCGTGAAGTACTTGAACTTCGACAGTTGTTAGGTGGCATTCGCCAGAATATCTCGAATTTGTTTCGAATGCAATTTATTTACTGTTCAATATATATATTTACACAAGCAAACATCGTTTCTTCTTCAGGCACCATGAAACAGCAGTCTGCCACAGAACAATACTACTGTACTAATATTAAAATATTGACGTTTGAAGTCCTTGTGTCTCATGATTCATTTTGTATGTGATGCGGTGTGCCGCAGCTCAAGGAGTCACGCAACATGCGAGGAAGGAACTGTGTGGCATATCAACGTCAGTTCAGCTTGTTTATAGAAAGTACCTGGTTCGAGTGTCGGTCAGAGCATAGGCTACCCTATTCTGGGCTTTTATGGTCCCAGACCTTCAGTCTTTTATCTACTCATCTCCCCCCCCCCAACGAGATCAGCAGTTGTTTCCCAACCTCTTCTCCGTCGACAGTAAAAATAAACTGCAAATTATAAATGATAATCCAATTTTAATGTTTGTAATTTGTTTAAAGATACTGTATACCCTTTGAATATTTAGAGTACAATAATCTGATTATGCTAAATAATAAATTAGAAAGGATAAGGATGGATATGGATAGTGGGATAATTCAAGATACTATCCTGGTAACTGCCTGGGAAGAGTGCCAGAAAACCACACGAAAACCTCAGTCAGGAGAACCAGTGGCCCAGCAGAAACGCTAACCACGCACCTCCAGAGTATAAGTCAGAAGCGTTACTGACAGCCAAACTACTCTGTAATTGAAATTTCATTTTATGTAAGTTTCCTTTCAGTAAAATGCTTTAGGCATGAAAATGGCTCTATTAAATCTTTAGCATCAGACTCAACATTTTAATTCGATGCAATAATATTAACGTTTCTCTTAAGAATTTTTGTATGGGTTTGCAAGTTTGTCTCTCACTTTGAAAGAAGAAACATGGCTTGAGGATACATGAGAACATGCAGGAAGAATATATGGGCCCAGAAAAGGAGTAATAGCAAAAGGATGGAGAAAACTACACAGCGAGGACCTTATAAACCTCATAATTTATATTCTTCATCAAGTATAATTAGCGTTATCAAAT